AGAGAGAGAGAGAGAGAGAGGGAGAGAGAGGTGTGCACGGTGTATAATGAAGGGGACATTCTTCTAATTTAATGAAAGGGGAAAAATGAAGAGAGGGGAAGGAGAGACAAAGCACATAGCCATACAAATATGCCAATTCCTAACTTTTCCCTATAACAAGATGATACAAGAAGAAATGGAAATGTGTACGGAAGGGCCACAGAAGAAGAGGCCCAACAGCCTGAATACAAGCATGCCTCTTAATCTAGCATGGCACAGCACAATCTAGTATGGTAGCTTGATTATCTCTTTCTGCTGTATATGAAATACCTCCGGCTTCATGGGGATGATTAATGTAGCCCTATTATCTATCTCAGTACATGAAACCTAAATAAAATCCTTATAACAATGCCATGAAAATAAATTGAATCAATATTGGAATGATGTAAGATTAAAAGCAGAGGGCTCAGTCCAAGGCTTGTGCAAAGATCACTTGAAAAAAATAGCTCCTAAATAATTTCCCCCTTATCTGCAACTACATGCAACATTCAGAACAGAGAGCTGGGAGACTGCACTATGCATTAGACTAGAAGAATGGAGGAATATTTGTGGGAGGACGATCACTCACATTTTATAGAGCATGTTACTTTAACAGAAAGTTATATTTGTCAGACTGAAAATGGCACTATCAGATTAGGAAATTCCTTTTATTTGTCGATGTTAATTTCCACACAGCTGCTTGAATCTCCCTGTTCCGGAGGCTATAAATGATGGGATTCAGAGTGGGAGGCAAAACTGTATACAGGACAGCAGAAAGTAAGTCTATAGTGGGAGAGGAAAGAGAGTTTGGCCTCACATATGAAAACAAAGCTGTAATGATAAATACAGAAAAAACTGTCAAGTGAGGACTACAAGTTGAGAAGACTTTACATCTGCCTTCAACAGATGGAACTTTCAGCACAGCAGAAATAATATACCCATAAGAAGCAAAAACAAATCCAGTAATAAGTGAATCCACAATGCATGCAAGTATCCAAATCAATATTTGGTTAACCTTTGCATCAGTGCAAGAAATCTTTAATAACTGAGGGATATCACAGAAAAACTGATCAATCATGTTTGGCCCACAGAAGTTTAACTGGAAAGTCAGGACAGTTTGTAGAGATGCATGTACCAGGGAGCTGATCCAGGAAGCAGCTGCCATTTTGTTGCAGGTATCCCAGTTTAGGATGAGGTTATATTGCAGAGGATGGCAGATGGCAACATAACGATCATAAGCCATGATGGTAAGCAAGGCAATTTCAGAACCTGCAAAAACCATAACTAAAAAAACTTGAGCTACACATCCGGAAAAACGAATTACTTTGTTATCTGTCAATGAAACTGCCATTGATTTGGGGACAGTGGTTGTGATGTAACAAACATCAGTCAGGGACAGGTTGACCAAAAAGAAATACATGGGGGTGTGAAGGTGGTGGTTCAGGATCACAACAATCACAATGAGTAAATTCCCAATTAAACCTATTAAATAAATGGATAGAAACATGACAAAATATAGAAGTTGGGCGTCAGGGTCATCAGAAAATCCCATCAGAAGGAATTCTATCCCAGTAGATTGGTTGGACATAGTTCTTTCAATCTGGGCAAAAACAAATTATAACTGGAGATTAGTAGGGGAAAAAGATGGGGACAATGGTGTTTCAGTATATACTGTATTATTCATATCAATTTGTTGCCAATCTTCAATTAGAAAACTTTGTTATACGTAACACTTACATGATATCAAAAGTTGACTGTACACATTAATCAGAATGGAGGACATATGCTTATTCATTCCATAACATTTGTTTTTTTCTTATAAATAATATGTTGTAAAATGGATTTTTTTAGAAATCCCCAGTTCAATCCTAAGAATTTTGAAGAAAATAAAATGCATTGAAGAATATCAGCAACTCTTGAGAAAGAACATTGCGTGTGATGGGCATAGTGGAGGAAATATCTGCACAAAATAACCACTTCCCCAAACTATGTTTAAACCTATTAAGAGCTAGTCTTTGGTACTATTCTGTCTATACAAAGAACTAAAGGGAAAAGTTGTATATGCTAATTCAGTGAAGAAAGAAAAAATGCTAAAATGCCAAATTTGGATATCACATTAATCAGACTATCCCATCAGAAAGAGTTCAGACATGATTAATTGGTTACCTGTCAGGTATTTTGACATTGTTGTCAACAAAAAGGATTTGTAATAGATTATAAAATACAATTACTTGAGGAAATTTATACAAAGAAGAATTATAGCTATATATCATAATTAATACTTTTATTATCATTATTAAAATTGCAATTTATCTATAATTAGAAGTGATTTAAGTGTCACATATAATTTACTTATCCCCCCCCCCCCAAAAAAAAATAGAAACATAC